GGGTCATTGACCCGAAATTGGTGACCTTTGACCCCAGTCTGGTGACCCCTGACCTCCAAGTGTTGACCTTTGACCCCAAATGTTGACCTTTGACCCCAAATTTTGACCTCCGACCCCAAATGTTGACCTTTGACCCCTCAGATGTTGGCCTTCGACCCCAAAATGGTGACCTTTGACCCCCAAAAGTTGACCTTTGACCCCAATGTTGGCAGTTGCTTCCCAAAATGTTGACCTTTGACCCCCATCTGACCTTTGGTGCCGGAATCGCTGACCTTTGACCCCACGTCCGCATCCTTTGCTGCCGTAATCAGTGACCTTTGACCTCGAATCCGTGACCTCTGACCCCAAAATGTCCATGCGAGCCGGACCTGTGACCTTTGACCCCTCAAAATGTGACCTTTTACCCTCAATCTTGACCTTTGACCCCCAGGTGATGACCCCACCCAAAATACGGCGACCTTTGACCCCAATCCGTGACCTCTGACCCCAAATTTTGGACTTGAACCCCAAAATGTTGACCTTTGACCCCCAGAATGATGACTTTCCCACCCAACCTGACGACCTTTGACCCCGATGTTGACCTTTGACCCCCCAATGTGTTGACCTTTGACCCCAAACACCCATAGACCTGAATGTGTCCCAGGCTGGTGACCTTTGACCCCAAATTTGGAGTCTGACCCCAATTGTGACCTTTGACCCCAAAATGTGGGGGTTTTTGCCCCCATAATGATGACCTTTGACCCCAATGTTGACCTTTGACCCCCGAATCGTGACCTCTGACCCCAAATGTGGAACTTTGGACCCCAATATGTGACCTTTGACCCCATGGTTGACCTCTGACCCCCAACTCTGGAACCTTGGACCTCAATATGGCGACCTTTGACCCCCGACCTTTGACCCCAACGTTGACCTTTGACCTTCAATCTGTCACCTTGACCCCAATCTGTGACCTTTGACCCCAAATGTGGGACCTCCGACCCCCAAGCGACGAACTTTGACCCCAGCGTTGACCTCTGACCCCCAACTTTGACCTTTGACCCCAAAATCTGACCTTTGACCCTCCAATCTTTGACCTTTGACCCCCCAACGATGACCTTTGACCCCGCAGAGTTGACCTTTGACCTCCAAATCCACCTTCGACCCCCAATCTGTGACCTTTGACCCAAACTGAGGACCTTTGACCCCAAATCTGTGACCTTTGACCTCGGATATGGGACCTTGGACTCCAAAACGTCGACCTTTGACCCCCAGTGTTGACCTTTGACCCCCAACCCACGACCTTTGACCCCAAACATGGGACCTTTGCCCCCAATATCACAACGTTCGACCCCATCATTGACCTTTGACCCCCAAAATGATGACCTTCGACCCCACATATGAGCCCTC